AGCGAGGGACCGTCCGCCGAATTGCCGCCGAATAGCTGGACGTGCCACCCCCCTCCGGAGTGGCCGCCCCAAGCACCCGCTTGCCAGGCTGATGCCTGGAGCCAGCCCTGCACAGGACTTCCCTGTATTAATTCCTGCTTCAAATCCAATAGCTGCACTTGAGCTAGAGCATATCTTTTAGAAAAACATTCCATCTTGATTTAAAAATTTCTAGTTATAAAGAATCCACCACAATCCTGGGTAGGTTTCTCCAATGGTTAATTCCCCTCTCCATTAATGCACTTTATTTCCAGTCTGAATAGGTCTAGGTTCAACTCCCAGCCTTTGGTTCTTGTTATACCTTTGTCTGAGAGATTGAACAGCCCTGTATTGTCAAATTTCTGCACCCTGTGTAGGTTCTTATAGAGTCTGATCAAGTCTTCCCTGAGCCTTCTCCCTGGTGCACTCAAACTGCTTGATGGAGATATAAATTCACCTACTTGTGCTTGATGCCCCTGCCCATATTCCCTAGAATGGATTCGCATTAAGGGAGGATAGGTTGTGATGTCACTCTGCCCGCCCCTTAGGCTTTCTGTTAGGTGGGATTTATGCCAGGGTCTTCATACCCTTACAAAAAAACATCTATAGATTTTAAACAGAAGATGATAATTTCTATATAAGTGTTGTGAACTGTCAAATAGGATTTATCAAGAATTTTATACCTGCTATTAAATTCTACAGTACAGCTCAAAACATCCATGGAAAGGCTATTATTCTCTATTAAATTCTATGGTCTAGTTCCTGAGTTACGTGCAAAATTGTCTCTAAATCACATTTATAGCAGGCTACAATACTTCCTACTAGCAAGGCCACCTCCAGGCACCAGCTTAACAAGCAGGTGCTTGGGGCAGCCAAGGGAGAGGGGCAGCACCTGCGGCAATTCGGGGACGGCAGATCCCTCACTCCCTCTAGAGGAGCGAAGGACCTGCCGCTGAACTGCCACTGCCGATCGCGACTTTTTTTTTTTTTTTTGCTTGGGGCGGCAGAAATGCTGGAGCCGGCCCTGCCTACTAGTATATTTGTGTCTTTATCACGTGGGATTTGTGTCTGTACAGATTCTACTACATGGTCCTCTTCACTCAGACATGTTATCGCATTAGATTCTACATAGCACTGGTCAAAATTTCTATCTACAGGAAATTCTGGCATTTCAAAATTATCAGAATGAAAAATCAAAATTTTGATAATTGTCACAAAATGAAATTTCTGAAAAAATTTGTTTTGGGTTAATAAAAATGTTTTTGGGTTTTTGCATTTTTATTTTATTTTGTTTTATTTGTATGTTGTTTTACTGTATTATCTTATTTTATATTATTTTAAAACAAGGGCTTAATAATTGTCTTAAAATTAAAATGTAAAATAAAATAAAAGTTAATATACACAAACTACAAACCAATATAAAATAATTTTAAAAACAAAGAGTCCTTTCAAAATAAAAAAATCAGAAGGTTCCACTCTGAAATGCTTTGTTTCCATTTTTTTCCTAGAAAAAATTCCATCAAAATTGACCAGACGTAGTTCTATGAAATCTTTTAGGTTTCATGCTTCTCTCCCACTTCTGACCTATATCTGTCCTTCCTGTTCAGTTCATAGCCACATATCCCAGTATCCCATTGATCTCTGAAATTTGTTCAAGTTTCAGCAATGCCCATTATGGGCTATATGTTCAAAAGAACTCAGGCTCACTTTTGGACATCTTATTGAGTGGCTTGATTTTCAGTAGTGTGCAACACTAAACAGCTCCCACTGGCAAGAACAGGAACTGAGTGCTGAGGTCTTTTGAAAATGTGATCACTTATCAAGCTTCTTTGCCAGGTATTCTAGTTTGCTTCCCCCCCTACTCCCATCCTTGTAAGCTTCTTGTATTGGCCAGGGCCGGCGCCAGGCACCAGGCAACCTACCACCTGGTAAGGGGCGGCCAATCTTGGGGTGGCGGGGGGCAGCGCGGCACA